TAATATTTTTTATACCCTCGTGTTATTGTTTTAAATTTTTCTTTAATGAAATAATTTACCTACATTTAATTATTGTTTTTTCCCCCGTGCATTTTAAAACGACGCGAAAACTTCAACAATATTAATACCGAGCACTTACAATTGTCTTATTGTAATATATAATTTGTATAGTGTTTACATAATATATATTATTATATTTATTTTATTTTATATCCAAGTGTCGCGTTATTTATTGTTTTGCATTATCGTAAATGTTTAGATTTGTTTGAACGTTTTATTATATTATTTTTTTGTTTTATATAAGGACCGTTAAGACAACGCGTCTCTGAGTTGGTGTATACTATAGAGCGTATACGCCGTATAATGTATTTTAAAGTGTAAAGTATCGAACGCATTGGAATACAATTCCTCGAAAGTACTCGAACGGGATTTGAAAATGAAAATTATTTCTGAACATTATGTAACATCTGTCTGGGACACGGTTTACATATTGTACAAATAGTACACAATATATTATATATAATATAGTGTGTACATTATGTGTAGTTTTTCGGTTAGGTTTATATTGCGAAAATGTATAAAGCGCTTAAATGCCGTAAATATACGCTCACAATCTATATATAATGACCCGGTTCGCACGTTATCATCGTAGGCAAAGTAAAACATTGGTAAACAGCAGTGTGTAATGCACTGTGATGTGTCGTGTACCTATTTACATATTACCTGTATTATTACTACTACTTTGTATTATCTATCGCGCCTCGAAATGGAATGGTTTTCATTTTTATTTTTCACTTTTCGTACATAATATATTAGGTATGTACTTACGTTTTGTTTTTTTTTTTATCAAACGTTGCGAAATACTCGATCAAGCACCTCTATACTATCCCATGTAAGTTATTAAAATACGAAAAAAATTCCCCGACTAGCTCGAACCACATAGTTAGGTATGTTTACCTTATTCTGCGTATACATATTGTATTATGTATAATAATATATGCGTAATTAAAATATCGTATCACAGCTGCAGTCAACAGTCGTGCTCTGCAGGTTATATATGAGCCTAAATAAAATTATACCTACTGAGAAGTTCGTCACCAATGCTCGAGTTCAACACAACGGTGGAAGTTATAGTTATATATCGCCAAAACAAGACTAGAAAAATAATTATTGTCGTACAAAAGTTCCAAAATCCCCCCGGATACATAATGTGTGCTCCATTCCAGATATTAAATTTAGAACCATACCTATCATGTACATAATCGACAAATGTATTATCTGATTTCGACAGAGGGTCAGAGTTTAGTGTTATAACAATAATACATTGTAAGTGCAATAAAGTGCCTATACTTACAGTTACGTATATTTAACATTCGATTAATCCATAGGTACATTAAAGTGAACGTTAATTGCACAAAACAATTAATTACGAATAGAGACGTTTCAAAACAAAAATATTGACTATATTACGGATTATTGACGAATTTTGAATTTTTTGAAATGTATCACATATTATTATATTAATATTATTATAATATTTGGCCTAGTATACATATACATTTTTAATATCGTTGGTGCTATATAGTGACATTTATTTTTACATCTTTGGAGCTTATTATGTCATATTATGTCAAAATGTTGAAATCGATTTAGGCGAAAATGTACGATTTAAAATTAAAATATAGGTAGTGCAGTGCAGTGGGTATAAAAGATAGCTATAAAGGTATTCGATTAAGCACTATGATTATACACATATTATATATCTAATGTAGTCACCTAATAAAAATACCAATAAATTCCCTATCTAACCCGAACCATAATATAGTTGTTTATCTTATTCGGCGCTGCATACCTTCATATATTACGCGCAATTAAAATATCTTACGTATTCGTATACTTCAGTTGTAAGTCGTCCACGTTGACAGTCGTGATCGTCGATAAGCCTTATATTTATATTTTACGAAGAAGAACGTCATCCAACCCGATATGCTCACTTATACAACGGAATAATATGTATAAATCATAATATTGTGTAGTATAATGTAGGTAATGTATTACGATGAGTGGGATTCACTTTTAGATGTGTCAAAATTCCGAAATCGATTTATGTGCAAGTTTACGATTTAAAATTCAAATATACGGTCCTTTTGTGTACAGCGCGTACCTATATAGAATGGATGTGTAGGAGGTATAGGGCGCCGGGGACGTCCGCCAAAGAGAATTTAAAACATCGTGGAAAACACCCGTCAAAACGGTTCAACACTTTAAAGGGTAAAGAAAAAACCTGAGGCGATATTGTGGACGCGGGCCAAGGGTCGTATGTATAATATAATATGTATATATAAGGGATTGTCGTGTGACTCGCGAGAAATGCTGTAGGTATATACAGGAGACCGCAGGTAAACAGTTGTTATACAGTAGTCTGAGCTTTGTGCTTATACAGGGTGGGTTACCGTGTTCTTCCTTCGGTTTTTTTTTTTGCTGTGTTAACCTTACGTGAATATTATGTACGACGCTGACCCGCACTGTATATTATTTTATGCGTGAAGTAGGTTGTACGATATAATGACGATTAATATCAAAAGCCGACCGAGAAAGGGACGCGGGCATTATTAATACATGTATGCGCATTACTCTTTTGTCACCTGTGTGACTCGTTAAATAAAAGTGCACTGAACAAAACGTGCCACTATGTATACGTTTGTAACATTTTTCAAGCAGCTGCAATGTAGCAGAAAGCTACTCGTTCTCAATATCAAACTAAATAATACTTCTAGACTTGAAAGTGATTTACCCCGATTATTATTATTATTATTATTGTAGTGGGAAATAGCTGCAGCTGCAGGTCACCTGCTATAATATAAAATTGAATTAAATGCATACGTCTGTATAGTGTTGTTCGGTCGTCTTTAATAACCCGGTATAATTATAATCAAATATGAAAATGCAATGTTCGCACAACATACACGAAATCAAATAACGAATAGTGCGTATGGCATCCATCCGTGGTGTAGTCGAAATAACAGGGCGCCATTAATGATATGATTAAAACGCGTGTCGGCGTGTTTCTTGCTCGATTGTGGGTGGAGGGGTGCCATATCGGTACCGTCGAGGCTTAAGTGGGTTGTACGCAGTGGCATTATTTATGTGCGCAAACACTATCATATGGAAGTGGTACATTTTGAAGTGTGTCAAATGTTTAAAGTGCATTTATTTATATTTTATTTATTGATGTTATATTATATATTTTTGGGTGATCATAATAATACCTACTAAATAGTAATTAGTATTAATATGGTTACGTATAATAATCACCTACTGTTCGCTATTATATCATCGATTTGGTGGCAATAATATAATTTTTCATCGTGACCCGTATTTTTTATATACGTAGTCATCTCTCACTCGACACGCACTAACCCGCCAGTGCTGCTGTGGAAAGGTTGTCGAGGATACATCATATACATATAACTATTATTATTATTATATTATTCCCGTTAGCCAAACCGCATTGTTGTGCCCATATACGTGTATATATATATATATAAATGTACGAATGAATGATATCCCGTCTTCGTCGTCCTCATAATAATATATCCCTTGCAGATCTGTCCTCGAGACCTGTCAACATCCGAATCCACGTAATGTATTCCTATTATTCGTGCACTGCTGCGTGTATATTTGTATATAAGCAGATAGAGAGGGAAAAAATCGCTTGATCCTTCACACTCCGTTGTCGAATAACGTCGGGTGTATCATTAATATTTTCTATTTGAACGTTTCTCCCGGGGGAGGAGCGAGAAGCGACAACCCAAAAGTCTCGCATAGAAAACACACTATGACAACTCTATAAAATATATTATTTATATTTTATAGGTATTATAATACGATGTCGTATACCTAAACGCGTAGGTATATCATAATATATCCTATATTATATTATAGATAGGTGAATATTGTGTGTTCGTGTGTGGATGAAAATTCCGTGTTCCGCAAAACGTCTTGGATGCGTTTAGTCGAGGGAAATACTACGTATTAATAGTATATAACAATATAATATACTATTGTGCGCTTGTATATAATATTATGTCGATATAATACTTCGTTTCATTCATCAATGAGCTAATAATTGGATCTGCACATTTTCTATTCCGCTGCGTTTACGAAAATACTTTTGTGAATACGCGTGTGCACAAAATTTATAAATAAATGTATATATTATGTATTATACGGTTCTCACGGAGATTTGTGTAATATATATGGACGCCCCCCAAACCCGTCCACCCATGCAATGTATAGCTAGAATGCTAGATATATATACATTTCGTTTATCCGACGAACAGTTTACTCTAACATATAGATATTATAGATAACAATCGTCCGTTCTTTTTTTATTTATTTTTTTCGTGTATCCTGCCTAATTGTATACCATCCATGTACTTACAGGATGATTCACCGAACATGCTCACCCACTTCTCTAGCTCTTCAATAATATATGCAGTTAAAAAAAACCTGATTTTTGCAATTTTTAAATATAGGTACTTTTAAAACAGTATTTTAAAATTCTTCAGATATTTTAACCCTCTCCCTACCTATTTTACACTGTAAATTATATAGATATAAATACAATATATAATATATATTATTTTATATTTATTTAAAACCATTTTTAAGGACTATTATCCTTAGTATAAACATTTAAATAACTGATAAATTACTCGCTAATTCGAACTTTGAAGTAGGTATACTGTATAGATATCATCAACATTAAAAAAAAAAAAAAAAATGTATTGTTTAAAGGGGGATTCTCATTTGAAAAACAGTAGTTTGTACCACCTCAGAAAAAAACCTCAGTAATATTTCAATACATTTATTATTAAATGAAAAAATGTTAACAAGCAATAAGCATATATGCTTGGTGAATCACCCTGTACATTTTATATATTATACATGTTATGTGTGTGTAAGAAAGGTTGTTTTAACAATTTATTTTTTTCCAGGTAAATCGCCCTTCTTTCAAACACTCGAAGATCAAACGGGATTGTTGGACGACCCTGGTTCGCATTTGATCGATACATCCGTGCAAGCTCTGACATCGCCATCTCGGTCGTCGCCCCACAGTCAAGGATCGGAAAGCAGCGAAAGGTTTTCCAGGAAAGTGTTTGTAGGTGGCTTGCCACCGGACATCGACGAAGGTTCGTTTATATTTTCCTACCCTGCCGCCAATTTCGAAAAATAAACAGTTCTGATTTTATTTGAATATTTTTCTCGATTAAAGCTAATTTGTGTTTTATATTAATTTATCTCCTAGATGAAATCACCGCTAGTTTCCGCAGATTCGGCCAGCTGGTGGTCGACTGGCCTCACAAAGCTGAGAGCAAGTCTTATTTTCCGCCAAAAGGATACGCTTTTCTTTTATTTCAGGTATTTATTAGTTTTAATCAATTATTCAATATGAATATTCTAAAACCCTCTATATTTAATTTTTTCCCAATATATTTTTGATTAATTGATACACGAGATGATGACCTTTAGATTAAAAATAATTTTAAAAACAAATATACACGTGTGCAGGAAATTTAATGTTTTTATAACCACGAGTATTTAATGAAGTATGAATTTACAGAAAAATACTATATATTTTAACTCGCATTTATACAATTTCTCTGATTCTTAAGTTGTAGTTTCTGTTCATAATTTTTAATTTAACATAATGGTTATAATTTAAAAAATATTAAACTTAATAATATTTACCTTTAGAATATTAAATGGACCACCGGGGTATACTTAAAAAAAAACTTTCCAGATTTACAGATTAAATGTCATTAAATAAATTATGTCTCTATTGTCTTATATGTATTATATATATAAAAAAATAGAATAGTTCGATAATTGAACTATAGTTCATCTGAACTATATTGTATTCAATTAATGAATGTATAAAGGTGAGAATCGTCTCACACGAATAATAATTAATTTCTACTTTAAATTAACCTTGAGACAATCCTATTAACGATTGTTGAATAGTGTATAACAAGACAATTTTATGGAAAATAATTTGACAGTTGTGATATCCGTCCATTCGTAAAAAAAACCTATTGTGAAAAAGAAATACTTGATTATTTATTTATCAACATCGTAAAAATCTAATAACTTATTTACTGAATTTAATCATCTGTGAATTTCTCTTAAATTCCTATAGATTTTTTGAAGATATATTTTTAATTGTGACTCATATATTATACAATAAGAGTCTGGACTCATAACCAAAGTTTCAACAAATTATTACGTTTTATTTCTACAACAGGGCCCTATTGGCCATTAAAATGTTCGGTTTTTATAAATACGAATAACAACCGAATAAAGAATATTAACTTTTTGTTTTTAAACTTGATACATATTTTTCAATTTGTTGAAGTTTCTTAAACTCGCTATGAAGCGTATATAACTTATAAAATATATTGTTTTAGCCGTCGCCGTACAAGGTAAATGTTGCACTATATCTTAAATTCTTATATAAGTATACTTAACAAACCAACAAACTTGACCTCTAAAACTTTTCTAAACTTATGAAATCAAGATTAATATAATTCTAAAGGGTATGAAAAAATGTTTTAAAAATTAAAATTAAATTACAACTCTGCTACATTTCTTGATTATGAAGTAAAGTATGGATTAAAGATGAGTTCAATGTTTAAAAAGAAGACAATTGGTAAATGCATAATATTATCATGCAATAAACATGTTTAAGAAATTATCTGATTTTAATTGTTTTTAATTTAAATTGTTTATATGGAAAAAATTAAGAAGTCTTTGTCCCTACGGAAAAAGTTACTTCGAAATATCTCATTTATGTTATTATTGAATTAAATAAAAATACAATTAAAAAAACAAACAAATGAACTCGTTGATAAATTATTTTTTGTAAACTTGAAAGCGTTTTTTTTTTTTAAATAAAAATACTAAATTCCCTCTCTATTTATGTATTTGTGTGTGTGCTTAAATTATTTGGCAAACTACCAATTGGCCCAAAACTTACATTTTTTTCCACCCGTTTCACGGGCATACTAGAAAATATACAACCAAAGGAAAAAGTGGCAGAGAGATATATGGTCTTTGGGTTAATATTTTTTTTTTCAAAACGGCCGATGTCAATATACCATGGTATATTATATATAATTATATAAATATTATATTATATATATATTATATATACTATACCATCAATTTATATAATACTTTCTATACTTACCGACCAGCTACTTATATCAATAAATTGTGTTTTGGATATTTTTTTCATGATATATTTCTGCTGCAGGACGAGTCTTCAGTACAGCAATTAATCGACGCGTGCATTCAGGATGACGACAAATTATACTTGTGCGTGTCTTCGCCGACCATCAAAGACAAACCGGTGCAAATTAGGCCTTGGCGTCTGTCCGACGCCGATTTTGTGCTGGACGCGTCCATGCCGCTAGATCCTAGGAAAACCGTGTTCGTGGGTGGCGTACCCAGACCGTTGAAAGCCGGTAAGTTTTAATAACGATCGCGATGAACATTATTTACATGACGTGTTATTACCGTTATATAATCATATATTATCGCACACAAAAACTTGAAAGTGGAGGAGATCTAACGCCACGAATCACTTAGCTCTCGCTCCACTTACACCCCCTTTATAGGTGTGTCATTGTGCCCATCCAAATATATAGTATTACCCTGTATATGGTATATATAATAATGTAACTATATGTATTTACAATTCGCAACCGGGTTTTTCGTTTTTTTGACGCTGTCCTGTTTTTTGCGCTTTCAGTCGAATTGGCTATGATCATGGATAGATTGTACGGTGGAGTGTGTTACGCGGGAATTGATACCGACCCAGAGCTTAAGTATCCGAAAGGAGCTGGCCGAGTAGCGTTTAGCAATCAACAGAGCTATATTGCCGCCATCAGCGCCCGCTTCGTACAGCTCCAACACGGAGACATCGACAAGAGAGTGAGTATGATATCCCGTCCACAGAGCAGCGTAGAACAAATTCACTGAAGCAGAGGTTGGGTTAGGTTGGGAGGTGCCCTGGATTACACCTGGGGCAGCGTCATGAGTGTTTTTCCGAATTTGTATCAAAGTATAACAGAAATATATTAAATTTAAATCATAAATGTTTCTACCATAAGTTAAACTATTGGTACGTTTTGGGGAAAATATACGTGGGTATTATATACATCATATATTATAGTATTAATTGGACCATACGCATAGTCACCTGCTTTCCAACTCAACCGACCGTGCAATTAGGCGAAAACTTTCCAGTCTACTCCTGTTACAGCAGTATATACTGTGTCATATCTGAAGCTCGACCATGGTTTGGGTGGGGTGGAGGATGGTGATCAAAATGTTTTGATACCACGTTGATAAACTTCTTGGATTTTTTTTTTTAAACAGTTATTTTATTTTCGTAACATCATTATATAAATTCATAAAAAATGACCAAGGCCCAACTCACAAGAGTAGGAGAGGTCCATCTACACCCTCAAATAGTGTGATGCTTGGTATACCCTGTTCAGTATAGTAAATATACCCATTATATTATTTTTGATGTTTCCCACCTCCTCTTTACTATATTGTCATCCCTGTTGTTTGGTTATATTGTTTTATTTATCTGGTTGTTGACGTACTTGATTTTACAACCCAGGTCGAAGTCAAACCGTACGTGCTTGACGATCAGATGTGCGACGAGTGCCAAGGACAGAGATGTGGTGGCAAGTTCGCACCGTTCTTTTGCGCCAACGTCACTTGTTTACAAGTAAGCGAGCCGTGAGTCAAAATAATTCTATTAGTTTGGTATTATTATTTTGATTTTGGTTTGATTTGTTGAATTTATCTTGTACACATATATACGATGTATTCATAAAGTTTGGAAATGTAAATTTCAAAATTGGTTGAAGATATTAATTAAACGTTTTCAAACTTTTTGAACGCCTTATAAGTCCGTAGCCCTACTGTCAGTGCCGCAACTAAGATTTTTGGGCCGCAGGGAAGCAGAAGTCTTAGTGGCCCTGTAATAAAATGCTTTCAACCCTACCACAATTATACTATAACCGTGGTGTATCGTAGGATGATTTCTCGAATTTGTTTACATCAGTGTTCATATTAAATACCTTAACTACAGAATAGATTAAACCTATTCTGTGCTTTAACCATGGTTATAAAACACTACAGTACAATCACCAATGTCATGGCTGAATCGCAGAAAAAAAAGTCCCAATAAAAATTAATGAAAATATATCAAAATTGAAGTATAAATATGTTAAAAGTGTATTGAAAAATACATTTAAGTTACATAAAAAATCATAGATATCATAAAAAATGTTAAGTACTTACTTAATATACAATAATACATATAACCTATCATTATACCAAAAAAAGTTTGTTTTTATGTAATATTTCAAATTATAAGTATCTATAGCAATTTCGTATATATTCATTAGTCACTATATTTGAAAAACCATTCAAAATTAATACCTATTATAACAAACTAAATTTTTTTTAAAAATTACCTCTGCTAATTACCTTTCAATTTATGATGAATTAAATTATTCACTATAAATTTAGTATAAAACTTTTTATATTTATCTATACATTTTGATATATACCATATTATCATTACACTAAAACTAAATAGTAAATTACTAAATTATAGCAAAAGCCAAAAATATGATCTTTATTAAGAAACTTGAAAATTAAATATATATATATTAAAATATAATATAGGTATGTAAGCTCCCTTCTATTTTTTATGAAATTATATGATTTTTTATGTAACTTTAATTTATTTTTCATTACAATTTTAACATATTTATACTTCAATTTTGATATACTTTAATTCATTTTTTTCAGGACTTTTTTTTCCGATTACCGTCATGGCCACATAATATTATCGAATTTCAGAGAAATAAAAAACTGATTATAAAATCGATAAGAGAATAAATATCTTGATATCGTACAACTATAAAATCGAATTTTTTAATTTTTAAAATTTTTATTTTTATTGAATCTAGACTAACACAGAAGAATATATCCAATCACAGTAATTGTGCCCTAAAATTAATCTCATATTGCCCTATTAGCAAGGCGTCACCCTTCCCCCGCCCCACCCGGTAATTGCGGCACTGCCTACTGTGCCGTGTTAAGAGTACCAAAATTAATATTTTTAAATGTATATAATATAATATAATATACGTAATAATATATATACTTCTTCACTATGTAATTTTTTTTCATATATATTTATTTACATTTTTGGGAGTATAAATCTCTATTCCACGTTTCATTATTGTACATTATAATATATTATATTTCATTAATTCGTGGTCAACTCTGTTCTGAATTTTAGGGTAAGTCCGAGTTATTTTAAAAAATGTCATCTGTTTTCAGTACTATTGCGAACTATGCTGGGCAACGATCCACTCAAGACCGGGTCGGGAATTTCACAAGCCGTTAGTTAAAGAAGGAGCAGAACGTCCAAGAACTGTGCCTTTCCGTTGGTCATAACGTAAGATTCCGTAACGAGTAGTCACATTTTATTAATCCACTTATTTGTTTTGTTTTTTTATTTTATTTTATTATTCTTACGCATGTTTATACAAATGATATAAAAAAATTTAATGTTTTTGAATAGTCTTTTTAAAATCTGTCGTTTTTTAATGCGAGAACCGTTTTTTACAATTTTTTTTAATCTACCTTTATTACACAATTAAGCCTCTACTGACTTAGGGAAATTGACGGTTTTTTTTTTATTGTAATTATTCTTTAGGACTATTTAAATAATTCAGGGTAAACACAATGGATAGGGCTCTTTACACCGAGCAAAAACGAATTGTATTAGTACTACAAACGAATTGTATTAGTACTACACAAACCTTCCAAAGAACTTAGATTTTGTTTCGTTAGAACTATTTTTCATTTTATTTTTATTGTTTCTCAACTGTTGGTTTTTCTCTTTATACTTAGATAATATGCAACTTCCAAAAAGATTTTTTTTGTTTAATGACCTAACTTAAGAATTTGTTTTTATTTTATTTTAAAGTTTATTATTTTTAGACAAATTGTTTCGACTACTGCCACCTTTTTATCATACAATTTTTATAGATATTGTTTTAATTTTGTTTTTTTGTTTTGATAAAATGGTTTTTTTATATACACATTTAATATATATATATAATATATATATGTATATATAAATATATACATATTTATATATAAAATATATAAATAAATTAAATATTGACATTATTAATTTGCAAGTTAAATCAGTTTGGTATGTAAACCTTTATTTTCCCATAATTTTGTTCTTAATATTATCTTATTATTAATTATTTATATTTTTGGGGGCAATATTGTATAGAATAAACAATATATCTAATTGATATTGCGGACGTGGACCACAGGTGTTACCTATAGCAATCGAAACTCTTTAATAAATTAATTAATTATCAATGTGCAATGTTTCGTAAATTAAATGTATGCATGCATCCATGCAAACAATAGGTGTGCCCTTTTCCTGGTTTTTCGCCTAAGTTTTAAATTACAATATGAAATAAAAAGAATACGATATTAAATATATTTTTCTACTTCTTTTTTATATTTTTTAGGCAGCTTCGTTACGTCTTAGCCTAGTTACCAATTCTAAAACGTTAAAAGTTAAAAATAAGAAGAAAAAAATATTTGAAATTACACAAAACTGAAAACTGGTGTTTTCTCATCAAAATTTGTATTACCTTTTTTTAAGTAAAAAAAAAAATGAATAACGTTTGTTGAATGTTATTTAGTTTCAAAAGTTTTTAATGTTTCGTTATTTGTTTTTTGATATTGATAGTATTTAGTTTTTAAAAACCTACCTTTATTTTTTATAATAATTCTCTATATTTTTAATATACTCTACTATACCCTTAGGAACCCGATCGTTTTTATAAAATACCTCAATTTTTGAGGCATGCTTAACGCAGGTCTTTTGCCCCTCTACCCCTCATCTTTCCACTGAAATTGACAATGTTCCTGGAGTTTTAAATTATCAGTGAAAAAAAAGTGTATGAACTGTAATATTATATGGTTTTAACAAAATGTCTATGAATTACCAAAATTTTTCAATTGGTCGGTAGCATATTTTATGTAAGTTTTACACATTATTAGATCGAAATATCGTTAAAGTCACTGCTGAGTTATTTCCAGTTGCGTCCAAAATGATAACCTATCATTTGCACATAATTGTCTCATGCTATTCATTATTCGTACGTCACATTAGTATCGAGTTTCAGGTAATCAAATCATATCAGTAATTAATAATTATTGATGTTAAGAGAACAATTTATACAAACATTCAAGGACATTCTACCCTATAACACTTGACATCAGTGCTACCGATGCAACCAATATATACAGCATTATTAAAGTATTAACAATTATTTGGCCCTCCTTTTCCTTTATCTCATACCTCAGTTTTCATTGTCATTCAATTTGGTAACGTTAAGCTGAGAAGATAAAATCAAAAAACAAGCAATTTAATTACATTGTACTTAAGTTAAAATATAAACTATACATTTTTCAATAAAAATAAAAAAAGATAATAAATAATAAAATAATAATACATTTTTAAGAATGGTGATTTATACTATAATAATAGATGATACTGCGTTTTCTTGCACTTGATTTAGAGAGTAATGATAAATTTCACTATGTACATAAAAAAAACAAAATAATTATGATTTAGGCAAATTGTTGTGTTTTCTTTTTTTGGGGGAAAATTTAGTGTAATTTTTATCATGAATCGATAAGTTTTTTAATCGCACCTAAAATATATAAAATATTTATAGCGAATTTTTTCATTATATACATTAGGTTATTGATAATATGTAAAAAAAAAAAAACCAAAAAAAATAATTTTTAAAATATTTTGGCAGTCAGATTTTACTAGTTTCTAGTCAAATTATCATTAGCCCATTATGTTCCTAAGCACAGGAGCCATATTTAATAATACAAATATTAAAAGTAATTAATTTTTTTTCTTTTCTATTGCTCATTACTATAACAGTTAAACAATTTCAACAGTACACATTTTCAAAAAAGATTTTCCACTTTTAAAATAATAATTTTACTTTTTATGCTGACAACTGATATTTTATATATTATTAAAATTACAAATATTATTCAAAATTAGACTTAGTTATTTTGAAATAACAAAAATAAATAAATAGTTGTATTTTTTTTAAAACTTTTTTGTCTATTAAATGCTAAGTAAAAAAAAGCATTACTTTAAGTGTTCATCGGTGTTTATATAATAATGTCTGTTTGTCATTTAGTGTTTTGGCTTGTGTGGTTTTTGCGGTAGGGAAATAATTTTAATTTTTCTTTAAAAATAAAACAATCTTTTATAATTTTATTACAAATTTTAATATTATGTAATTACTTGTTTTTATTTCGCTGGCCATTCTGACATACATGTATTTGGCTGTGATACAGTATTTTGTACATCTTTTATTTTTTAACTGCATAATGCTCGTTTAATTGAATTGTTGACTCGTTTTTCTTTTCTTTTGCTCTTTTATGAGATGAAAATGGCTATATATATTTTTCTTTTCTTTTTTTTTTTCATGTAAATTTATAATAATTACTATAACTTGTCCGGTTTTCTGTAAGGGTCGGTTACCACTTAATATATTTCGTTTTTTTATTTCTTAATAGTGCAATTACTTCTCTGTGTAAATAAGTTGTTTTGTTTTCCCCATAATTTTTTTAATTGATTAATATTCCTAGGTTTTTTATTATTCTCGTTCCTCTTACAGTTCGAATGATAATAATAATTATAACAACAATTATAATAATAATAACAATTTAAATTTATATCCACACATTTTTCTTATTTCCTGTGGCTCAATATTTTCTTCCATACAGATGTTCTATTAAATAGGCTATTCGCTACAAGCCAAACGCATATTTAATTAAACGGTTACAAAGTCTTAAAACATAGGTTATCCCACTTTTAATTCACCATCAATCATATTATATTGCAATGGAATGATAATCATTCTTTGAGTTCATATTTTAGTTTTTGTTGTTTGATTATTATTAGTATTATTACTATTACTGTTTTTTTTTTCAAAAAATCAATTATAATAATAACCATTTATGTTATTTATTTTATAAACTGTTTGACAAACTTTAGTAAAATTTATTGTATAATTTGTTTAACTAATATTTTACCACGATTTGTTATAAACGACGATTACCATTTTGCTGTTGTTGTAGGATCTATAAGCTAATAATTATTGTGTTTTTTTGAACGGATATTTTATTTCTGTATAATCCAAATACAAACATGCATTCAAAAATTTGTTATTTTTTTTTCTTTTATATTTAAATAGGCAGGACTGTGATATGATCAATAAGAATGATTGTAAAAACAGATACCTATATGTTTAGTTTGTTTATTTTTTTTCTTTATGGTCTAATTAATTTTGTAACACATTTTTAAATAATGTCGATCGTATTGATCTCTTGTCCAGAAAAATAAAAAAAAGTAACTTACATCTTGTTAAAAATAAAAAAAAAATTAAAAAAAAATGTTATATTGTTTTTGGTTTTTATTCTTTTAGTTGGTTTTTTTTATTTACCTGGGATTTTTATTTATTATTTTATTCATACATTATATTATTTTTTTTTCTACATAACTTTTATCTAGCGTTTTTTTGTTTGTTTTATTAATTTATTTTATTTATTAGTTAATTTTTTTTTGTATGTCATATAAAATGCATATTTTAATTTCAAAGACACAAAATATAATATCATATTGCCAGCTGGAAGGGAAAGTGAGACTTGAGTTCAATAATTTTGCTTTTTGTTAACTTTATATTTAAAAAAAAAAAATTATAATAAACGTAATTACCTAATTATTTACTATAATAGAGATGGAAAATAAATGATAAAATATTCTTTTGTAGTATACCTAGTTTAGATAAATGCTAAAAAAAAAAAAAAAAAAAAAACTAGCCTATGCTAAGTATATTATTTGTGTGCATTTTTTTTCATCACTCCTATTTTTTATGAATTTTGTACGTTTTTCTAATATATATTTTTTTTTGTATACTACGTATTTTTTAAATGTAGTAATGTTGGACAAATCCATTATAAAAGATTAAACATTTTTTTTACCCAAATACCATAAATTAAAATTGTTCTTTAAAAAAAAAATTATTGTAATGTCAAAGAAAAGATTTGTCTGTCTTTATTATTTCATTTTAATAATATCATGTACAACACACAGTGTCCAACTTGCTTTTCCCGGTAACTTGCCCCGATATTTCGATTGGGTCAATTTATTATGGTTTTGTTTTTGTTTTTATTTTTATTTTTTTGTTTTGTTTTGTAAAATCATTATAATAATGTATATCCATATAATAAAAAAAAAATTACAATATTATCTTTTGTTGTTTTTCTTTCATTTTGTCGCGTTTTAAGGCCAATCGTTGTACATAAATACATAATGTATATTTTCCATG